CAACATTCGGGGCTATAACCGGGTTGGTGAACCATTGGCAGTTGACCTAGGGAAATCCCTGATTCCAAACCAACCAAGAAGAGGCGTAAGAACCAAACACACACCCCTGTCCACTGGCTCAATGGGTTTTCTTTTTCTTCTTTCATTTTACTTCCAGTTCTATAATACACAATGATAGAATTTTCAGGAAGGAGGAATCGATCAATCAAAGGTCTGCCATNTGGTGTTGAAATTCGAACACACGTCCTCCGGGATGATAATTTGGTATATTTGCCACAAGGATACCTCAATCAATTGGACGTTTAACGCCGTCCAAAGGACGTATGATCCAATGAACTGGCCATTGGCCCCAAGAAGACTGTGGTTTTCACATTCCTTTCCGCCAACTTGCGGGTCAGGCTTTGGTTAGCCGAAGGCTCCGGTTGTGAGTTACCCATGAAAATTCACCTGTCTTGGTCTGTGCAACCTGCCAATATTGCGCCCTTGAGCAAACCGTGGACCTTTGTTTCTTTTTATGAAGATTATTTTACCATGCTTTGTTTTGCACACATTCTAACCTCAGATGCGTGTGAAATATAAATTCACTGAAAAAATACCTGATTTATAATAAAAGGTGATATGAACTCGCAAATGACACGTTTCTTCCTAGGCTTATAGGCCAGTATTCCGTTGACAGTATGCATAGGACAACGACTCAAACGAGGCAAGGTTTCTGTCTTAAGAGTGGTTTAAAGGGAACTTTTCTCATGAACATGTCTGCTTGGCTTGTATTTGAATATGTATGTGTAGACTGACTGAAGTGCGAGCGATTGTGTTTGTAGAAGTCATGATGAGGTACCGCAATAAAAATTAAGTATATTTTGCACTTCTTATTGACACATCAACTTTGGTGAGCTGATCTTCGTTGCCGTCTTCTGTCAACCACTTTTGACAAATGAAGCATTACCTAGAACCGGACATCAGTGTAGGTATACAGGTGGGGAATGCGCACTTTTCCTTCCAGAAATGAACATACACAAGTGTCACTTTCACGAAAATGATCCCGTGTCTCAGAATCGATTCGGTCAATCACGGAGTCTCAAGTCGGTTGACTTAATGTGACCTACATGGCTAAATCCATTGGTCAAAGTTTCCATTTCGGGCGATAGGCTGAACAGCATTGGCCTTCTTCCTCCTCTTCTCATTACCTGCCTCCAAACTCATCGAGAACCAAGTAAGCCTATCTACTGACTGACAGGTGAAACGCATGATTTAGGCACCGTAATCTTTGGACATCAAACTCCTCATGGTATGGATGGGACAGCAAACTAGCATCAAGTCTTCATCATAATAATAAGTTATTTAAAAAAAATATGAATACTGCCGTGCTGTTTGTGTTCCAGTGCGCTAATTGATCTATTGCTGATATTATATTGTACTGAAAGACGTTTTTAGGCAGGTTAATATCTATTCTTCGTTCAAGAACAAAGACGCAAACCCGTTGCGGCGGGAGCTAAGAAAAACGATAACTTACTTGGAAAGCGGACAGACATCATTCAACTCTATTCAGTAGTTGCTTTGTTTTTATCGATTAGGATGCGGATCAAATGTTTACCAACAAAACTCTGTATATGTACAATTGATTCAAGAGCCAGTATGAAGACCACAGATTGTGCTCATAAAGGGACTCAGGCAAAGTAGTGGAATGCGACTGGTGGCCCTTAGGCTGCGATTGGCAACAGCGAAGTTTTTTTAAATAAACCGGGAAAGATGGCGGGAAAAAAATAAGGGATAATGGGGAAAACACTTTTCAGGATGAAGAAGAAATTACAGGTTGTTCTGGTACTGAAGGGCAAACGGTTTATTTTCAAAGCAGCACCCAGTATATGGGAAGAGAATTTCACAATACCACCTTAGGAGGCACCAGTGTACTTGATTGTGTTCACTGTACAAACGGGTGCAGTGTGAATTCTGATAAAGGCCTGAATGAATAGGGGAGTTTTAGGTATCGTTCAAATGATCGAACCAAGTGAGAAAATTAGACTAGTTTGCAACAGATTGGCAAAGACCAGCGTTATCTGCATACTGGTGTGGTGTGAGTAAAATGTCAATAGGGAATAAAGGACAGTAACTTGTGGTAAACCGGAATCATTTACCAATGGACGAGACAAATTCCCACCCAAGTGACCACAGTACTATAATCATTGAGATAGGAAAGAAAGGAAAATAAGCAACCGTTGTCGCCTTAATGACTACGGGGCAAGGAAAATGATTTCACAGAACAAGCGTTGCAGGCGGTCTGCTCTTTCATTATTCGCCTATATACATGCTTGAGTGGATTCTTGAGCTCCATATGCATCTCAGAAGAAGGTACTTCTTTTATTGATCAACCGTTTTTAATCTTCTAGCGTATTTCAGCAACGAAGATTTTGCACTGCTTGCAGACTGTCGAAAGATACCGGTTCAAACAGGATTAGAGCAAGCCAAAGTTGGATAGATTGTTCATCTCTTCTTTCAAATCCATTCGTAACTGAGCAAATTGATTTTTTGTCACCTTTCAATCCAATAACGCGAACAAAAACAAGGCGTCTTTGAGGCTGATTTTCACGTACATCACTGACTTTGTTGCGACGCGCTAGTTCGCTAGATAAGTAAAAACTGTGCACTAATTGCTGGAGAGCTGTCCGGACAACACCAATCCCCCCCAAATGATTTTTCAAATACCGGCCGATTGCTTGCACATCGGCATCATTAAACGATTTCGAAGGGGTACTTCTAAACCAGATGACCCTTTCATCTACTGCTCATAACCCTATTCGATTTGCTCACAAACATTTGCTTTCCACTCTAGATGCTGTTGCTCACGTTGTTCACTCCGTTTCATCCTTTTTGGATAACGGGTTTAGCATCGTCCGCTTAATTTTTCTTGATCATGCCAATTCTTTCGGATCCCTTGACCGCGGTATTCTCATTCAGAGTCTTTCGGATTGTGGTGTCGCACCTGATTTGTTGAATACACTAATCAATCACTTTTCACATAGGACACAATTGACTTTTTGTAACGGTAAATCTTCCTCCTTGCTAGAAATTAACTCTTGGGTTTCCTCAGAGTGCTATTTTGTTTCCATTTCTTTTTTCACTGTACATCAACGACCTTCCCATCCCTCCTAACTTTAACGCATGCAAGTATGCTGATGACGTGGTGGTTGGTTGTCCCCCGAATGATCCTGTTTGTTTCCGTCAACTTCAAGATTGTCTGAATCAAATTTTTATTTAGGGTTTTACAGACCATCCTTCTACACTTTTAGGCTTAAAAAGCTCGGTGTTGCCCCAAAATGTAATTCCTAAATTTGTGACCGCATGCATTCTCCCACACTACGTGCACTGTTCCCCGTATTTTTTCTTGGTCTAAGGGAGGAAAACTTCATTCTCTCTTCCAGATCTCTTAAACTTCTCTCACTTTACAGTAGCATTTCAAAGATCGTTTTAGTTGATTTTATAATGAGCAAGCATTTTGATTTATGCGACAGATTTATCAGCCATTTATGGTCAAATGAAAAAACTGCCTACACGCCCATCTCAATAAATTGGTGTCTCATCCGAGTACGCGTTCCAAATTTAGGATTTTTTGTGCACGTACCATTACATACCGAAACAGCATCATCTCGTATCTTAGTCAACCGAGCAAGTATCATTACTGATTTGGAAAATCATCTGTCACATTAGAATGATATTCACCTCCATTTGTTTTTCATTTAGTGAATGTATGATTTTCCTTTTCCAGTGCTTAGCTTTTGCCTCACCATATGTAACTTGTCGAAAGTGCTAAACATTCATCATATTGGGTGCATAAAGCTTGACTTGACTTGAATACACAGAATGACCGAACTCAGAAAAACGCAACAGAATAAAAGTTTGAACGGCACAGCTGAGTTCTTAGTCCAGATCAAACAATAGGCGTGAATAAACGCACAAGGTAGGTTTTTATACCGTGTCCACAACAGTTGAGATACAATCCATAAGCAAGCGGTAAGCTTGAAGCCAGGCAAGATGCAGTTCAATCGGATGACGAGAGCTCATGATTTCAAACGTGTGATTAAAGTAGGGTTGCACGATGTGTGTGTGTGTGTG